CTGTTTGGCATAGGTCTACCCATGCAAAGCAGGCGAACATAGCATTGAATGAAACATGCAGAATAATCACAGGATATCTTAAACCTACACCTGTTGATAAACTCTACAAGCTAGCTGGCATTGCTCCCTGATGTACGATGGGAAGTTGCTGCTAAATGTGAGAGAAATAAGGTTGAACACTGTGAAAGCCATTCACTACATGGCTATCAGCCTCCTCCCAGTAGAAAAGCTTTATGAGAACAAGGAAAAGCTTTATGAGAACTGCCACTCCTCTTGGCGTCCCCCCAGCAACAGCAAAGGTATCCCTCTGAGCAGCTAAACCAGGAAATCCCAACTGGATGGCCCCCCACAAGGATCTTCCTCCAGGGGCAAACCAAGAATGGGTAACTTGGAAGTCCCTGAACAGACTCAGAAGTGGAGTGGGTAGATCAAAAGACAACCTGGCAAAATGGCACTACCTAAAAGAATCCCATACCTTATGTGACTGTGGAGCAGAACAGACAACTCCGCATCTATATGCTTGTCCACTATGCCCTGCCTCATGTACAGAGGAAGAATTGTTGGAAGCTACAGACAGTGCCATTGCTGTTGCCCATTTTTGGTCAAAAGATATTTAGCCACCTATGCTCCTTCTATTTTTATCGGTTTTATACTAATTTATGCAATGGTTTTGATACAAAATAAAATTAATTCAAGTACTAATATATCGGATGCTTCTTAGCTTCGAAGATCAGGCAGGATCTGGCACCTCCTCAGACTTTATACATATGGGACTATAAACTGATTAGGTGAAAGGCATGGATTACCTCACTTCCCCAAAACACAAAGCAAAAGTGTGACTGTTATTCCTGTATTGATACAGTAGTTCTCCTTATCAAGAAATATAAGACATCCCAAATGACGTTCTTAAAATACCTTATAATGCAAGGGCTTTGAAATTTAATTTTGAATATATCTCTAATTACATGCCTTTGAACTTCAATAGAAATTTTGCTCCTCACAATTTATAGTTGAAATCCTGTTGAGAGCCAATATCCCATTGAGATCCAGAGTAACATGACACTATAAGATTGTAACTTTGTGGGTTGGTAAATGAAACTGAAGGATTCAGAATCAGAAAAAAGAAGACTGAGCTGTGCTAATATGACATATTGGTAGCGTTATGGACAGTTGTGCAGACTGGCTGCAAAGTCAAACCATTTGTGTCAGAAGGCTAATGGCCCACCATGATTCCAGTCAAAATCTCCCTCCCTGCTGTTCCAGAAAACTGAAATGGTTTAATGAGATGTGTCTGCATAGGGGAACCATTTGGGCCATACATTGTGGTATGATTTGCTTTACCATTGGGACAGCAGCTTACAGATGGAGCTACCGGCTGACCTATATGTTCCCTTCTATGCTACAGAATGAGAAAGGATAAATCATCCAAGTGGTCTGAGTCCTTCCTAGCTAAAAGCCCTCCTGGGCTTGGCTTCTTAGAATGAATAACTTCTATGTGAGAGAACATACCAAACATATTCTTTGGGCCTCTTCTTAATCTTGGAGGCTACAGACAGTGCCATTGCTGTTACCCATTTTTGGGTAATGGGTAACAGCAAAATATAATGGGCTGCTTCAGGCCCGTAGCCAGGATTTTGATTCGGGGGGTGCTGAGTTTGATTTGTAGGGAGTCTGAGTGAAAGAGGGTTTACCCTAGCAAACCTTTTGTATTGTTACCCCAATACCCCCATGCATATGGGATATATTGAGCATGGTGATCAGATCATGATATGAATAAACATAACAGTTTAAATAATGTACCAGTAAGGCCTTCTCGTGGACCACCCTGAGAATTTGGGGGGGGGGGGGGCTGAAGCCCCTCAAGCCCCCCCCCCCCGGCTACATGCATGGTCTGCTCATTGTAAGCTATGCCCAGAAACCTGTTAGTGACAGTCAATAGCTCAATGTTGATCCATGTCTTTTCTTGGTTATTGTAAAGGGCGGAATTGAATACTACAATGCAAAGGCATTCTCTTGGACCTCATGGTGACCTTCTGGAGGTCCTGGAAGATGACAGTCATTGAATTTCCAGCTAGAAAGATGTAACTGGACACCCTGGTACACCACTCTCCAAAAGATGCCAAATGGCTGTATTGAGTGGGCAGTATCAGATTTTGAGTGAGGTGAGATGGAGAAAAGTTCTACAGATGCAGTATCTAAGCCCATATTGCTTGCCACTGTTTTCCAGATACAGATCCGAAATCTGACCACTGACATATCTGAATTAGAGATTTTTGACTTACAGATCATAATTCTCTGTTTGGAAGACTGTCAAAGGGCATTCATTTATTTGAACATGTTTCCTATTTGAGGTCATTTTTGACTCTGGCAATAAGATGGTTACATTTTCTCCCATTCATTGTTCTAAAGCAGGGGTCCCCAAACTAAGGCTCATGGGTCAGATGCGGCCCTCCAAGGTCATTTACTCAGAAAATACCCTAAACTTTAGACTCAGGGTCATTCAAAGTCTGAAACTCCTTGAAGGCACACAACAACAATAACAACAATTCTAATTGATTTGACTATCTCATCAGCCAAAAACTTGTTCACACTTCCAATTGGAATACTGGTGAGTTTATTCTGGTTAAAATTGTTCTTCATTTTAAATATTGTATTGTTCTTCCATGGTTTTTTGCACTACAAATAAGATATGTACAGTGTGCATAGGAATTCATTCATGTTTGTTTTCAAGCTGTAGTCCTGCCCCCCCCCCCCCCCCCCACCACCAGTCTGAGGGACCATGAACTGCTTAAAATCTTTGAAGACCTCTGTTCTAAAGTCTGCTGAACCTACAGTTCAATCTTTCTTCAGTACTGATAATGTTGAAGACAGCAAGCTAGTGTATGTGACTCAGGATAAGTAGGATGGCATGCATCTATCTCCTTTAGTACTTTACTGCTGCCTCTCAGCAACTGTTGCCTGAGATTGCCACCTCATTCTGTCTAATGGCAAAACTAGTTGTCTAGTCCAATGATAGGGATTGATTGCAAAGGGAGAGCAGAGTCCTTATAAGGTTCCGCAATCATTCACATCTGGACAATGGATGAAGCAGGTCAAGGTCATAGATATGGGCAATGTGGAAGCAAAATGAGAGTATTGCTATCCTAATAGAAATTCTGCTGCACCATATGAATTTTTTCTTCACTCTCCACTTTTCTAGCATTGAAGATATTGATAACTGTTTACATTAATAAGTCATCTGAAGGAGTTTTGTTGCATTAGTTAATGGGTCACCAAAGGATGATATATCCAGCTTCCTCCTGCTTGCAAACCAAACTTTAACAAGCAATTATGAAAAGATCCTGAAGCTGTTCATTGCACCATGACTCTCTTGCAGTACGGGGCTTTAGCCTTCTGCTTGCCTGTGGTTGTACAGCTGCCTGGTTTTGAAGGAGGGTTTTAGGGAGGCAAACTGGGAGGTGGATTGTAGCTATATCACATTGTGGCTACATCTCTCTTATCACATCTTGGTCTATATTTCTAAATGCTCAACAGAGGTTTTAAGATACTGCAATGCTGGAAATTTGGAATCTGAAATAGGTAGCAGAGCCAGAAAAGTGTCCTATGTGTGTTAATGCTCAATGAACAATTAGAATTAAAATTGGAACCCTGATGCACTTCACATTAGTACTGATAATGAGCAACAGGCACCAGTGGACATTAGGCATTCTTGCCAGTGCCCCATTTCACCTCTTTGCAATTCAGCAACCAGGTTTCTTAGTTCCTCTTCTATGTAGTTAAGAACATACAAAGTTAAATTATATAAAAAGCCATACAGAATTCCAGTGCATGTCTTTTACCTTAATTGTATGCATTGAAGCATATATCTTGTTGGTAGTCCACATTTGAGTAGCCTTTAGTATACTTTAAGTTCGAGAAACATACCAGGGTAGATTCTTCAACAGTTCAGAGGGCTTTGAGGGAGAGCAAAGGGTAATTGTGTTGGTTCTTAGACATAGCACAAGAACTTTGGATGTACGCCAAAGAGAGTTGGTTTTGCATTTAGCTCAAGAGTGGGTCAATCAGCTTCTCTTAAAATCCACAAGACTTTTCTTGAGCGTGATCCATGAGAAATTGTTGATGATGTGCGTACATGAACACAATGCTCAAAATATGTACCATATATACTCGTGTATTCGTCAAGGGCAGGTTTGGGGATCAAAATTATGAATTTTGATGGGATCCATAGATAAGTTAAGGGTCATTCCATGTGGGAGGGGGGCAATGCCATCTCAAGGGGCCAGTTGCCTTCACCCACTGCTGTTATTTTCTTGCCATGGCATTCACAAAAGCCAGAAGTGACACAGCTATGGAGTAGTATAGGAAGTCTATAGCATCCATGTGATTTTATTGTGAAGTCAAAGTTTTTATTCTCTGTGTTGGCAAACTCTTCTGCCCTCAGTTTGCCAGAAACCCTGGCCAATGGAAACACATGAAATCAATGCCTTTGTTGTATTCCAGCCCAAAGTAAGAGAGTTGTTGATATATCAAGCACCTAGACTGAGCATGAGTGACGGAAGAGTTTGGTTATAAGAATGTCAGTTATAAGAAATGAAAATAGAAACTTCTTTTTTGTGATTAATGTATGCAAACTGCCCTCTCCTGGTGTGCAACAACCAAACAAATTCACACCTTTTATACTTGATAATTGTTACTGTTACAGGTCTGTTATTCAGCTTTGATAATGTGCATAAAATGCTCAACATGATAATGAGTTGAGGTAGCTGAGAATTTAGGATGGTGGCACGTTTAGTGTAGTATTTGGATTAGCATTGTTAGCCTGCAGCTACATAGGTTCTTAATAGCTCATAAGATATAAAATATAATCTAGTTATGCCCTCATTTTTTTTAACATTTAGCTTTTGAAAAGAAAATGATTAAACAAGGTACCCTGCTCAAACAAATACTACCAGCATTAATTAATCAGGATGATCATATGTAAAAGAAATGATGCCAGATAGTAACAAATCCAAGAGAAGTTTATTATGAAAATGGCACCTGCAGGATGAAAAAAAATTAAGTTACATAAAGACAACCATGTATGACATGTATGAGAATCTACAAAAGTATAAAAAGAACCCTGTTGTAAATGAAGTATGTACATTTCTGATTTGCAGCATTATCAATGATCAATGAAAAAAATGTTTCGAATAAGCCAGGCACTCGGAAGTTAGATTCGGTTAGGTTAACACAAAATAAATGTACCATAGCTGTCATTTTTTAACATTTTAATTTTTTATATATATTGTAGAGTTGGTAACACTGCTAAGATTTATACGAACAGAATCCCTTTCCCCCTTTATTCAGCTACTTGGCACCAGTCTCCTCATAAAAGATTTCATATATTTGTACAAGAAATAGTTAAAAACACAGACACAGTCTTCACAGGTAATGAAGGTTTTTTTTTTTACCATTTTGTAATTTTAAACACTATGGATTTAGACAGCAGCTGTGATTATCTGTTAGTTTAAATCACCAGAAATCATCTTGACACAACACAGAAACATTTATAAAAAAAATAAAACAACAACAGCTGTCTAGCTGTTCTTTTTTAAATTGTAGCTGATAGGTGCACTCCTTTGATTGTTCAATAGCTAGAGTAGAGTTTCCAAAGGTTAACCCAAATCAGCTCCTCTTGCCTTTGAAATCTATTTTGAAATCCTTCAAATCGAACCCTTTAAAAGTCCATTATCAAAATTTGTGACATCCAACACCCTTTGGGGGAATTGTCCCATTTCACTCTTTTCAGACTGATCTCTCAGATTCTAAACCAGCTGGACCCTGGGACTGGCTTAACACAGTGTATTATCTAAATGGTCGAGAACTGAGCTGAAATATATTAACACTGTACATATATGCAAAAATATATATGTATGTATATATCACAGTCATAAGCTCAGCTTCCTTTTAAACCATGCTGGTTGACCTTTGAAAGGATTTTTTCTACTTACTTGAAATTGCTCTCTCTCTATATTACTCCATTAACCTACTTGGGAGAAAAACCAAAGAAATGCACCCTCTACTTACAGTTAGAGCACAGGGGACTCTGGAAATGTTAACAACTGAGGCTATATGGCATCACTTTGTTTAATATATCTGAGTATCACTCTTTAGTGCATTGTGTGATGCACACAGTGAGAGCGAGGCAGACCCAGAATTCCTCTGTGGGGAAAAATGGCTCCATTAACCTTGAGCTAGTTAAGAGTCTTTTATCTCTGAGAATGGAGAAAGAGAGAGAAAGAGGGGAGGAAAAGGTGAAGGGATGGGAGTGGGAGAGACAGAGAGAAAGAGAGAAAGAGAGAGAGAGAGAGAGAGGTCTGAGTTTACACAACAGCAAAGCAACAGCAGAAATGAAAAGGTATACAGACAGTGGAAGCAGCATAAGGTGACGTTACAGAGGAAGGCCACCACACAAAAACCACTAACCCCCAAGAATCACTGGTTCACTAGGACTGTAGGAATGGGACTTTACCACTCCAGACTAGAGATAAAGCACAGAGAAGACAAAGGACAAAACAACTACATTAGCTTAGTATATACTGCATATAGTAACACACATTGAAACTGCAATGGACTGACAGCCAAGGACACTTACACATTGTACACATTACAGTTCTCACATCTGTTATTAGATGCTTTAACAAACAGCTGCCAAAGATGGAGTGGAAGAAGAATTTATACTTGACAGTCATTTGGCGTGTTTGACACTACATTGATTTCTGGCAACAAAGACAAAATAGGAGATTTCTTTTCTTCTGTTTTTACTTAATGTGCGGTTTTTAGTTGCAGTTATCTATTTTCAAGCTTATTAACCCATTTTGTTAAAACATATTGGCTTCAACACTAGAAGGAGGAGGAGAGGGGGATTACAAAAGACAAACCAATGGGCAAAAATAAAAATACAACCTTCCCTCTATAACATTAAATGAAAAATAAAAAAAACATGTTAAATATATATAATATATATATTTCCTTACTCTGAAGTGTTATTTGGAAGTTGTAAAATTAGCCTCAGTCACACTGAGAAAAATAAAATAAAACGAGAAACAATACACATCGAAAACAAACAAAATTAAAAAGATCCTCAAGTCAATTCAGCTGAGTTTTGTTCTATTTTCAGCACTTTCACAACAAGAAAAACAAGGCTTCCAGATCCATATAAATTTAATATGAGGCTATGTTTGTTAGTTTGGAGGTAAAAAATTAAGTCCTGCAGCAAATGTTAATGAGGGCTTTTGTCTTAACTAACCAAGGAGACTGCAGCACCTGACTATTTGACTAGCACAGAAGACATTCCTTTCAAAAATCCCAGCCCACAAGCTGCATATTGTGTGAAGACATTACAGATTAATAAATGATAGCACCATGGTTTTAGAAATTAAGTTAACATTTCTGTAATTAACATTTAGTCCATCTTCTTAATATTCTAATCACAGGCCAGAAATTAACTTTTTAAGAATCCAAATTATTGTATGTGCAAGTAAGAAAATTTTAACCATAAAAAGTGAATTAAACTCTGCATAAAATTCTAAAATACTATCCCCTATTTTTTAAAGGAATTAGGAACAAAAAAACCCCTTTCATTTGACTTAGTCAAACAGGGCACATTGTTTTATGCTTGTTTCTTTCAATCTTGATCATATCAAGATTGTTCTGAAGTAAACCCAATGGTTGTCACTTTCAAAATCTCTTTACCACATCACTGAGTATTCTATGGCAGAGGCATACACATATTAAAAGCATCTTAATAAAGATGCAAAGAAAAAAATACACATCTTGGAAGAAGACAAAATGGCAGGCAACTGGTACTTCAGCTCTCTGAAGGCAAAAATAAAAAAATATATTTTACATTAAAGAATAAGTCAAGTTAAAGAGAAAGGGAATGAAATGGGACCATCATATTGAGTGAATAAGCTGACCTGCTCAAATTCAAAGTGCTAGAATTAAAGGTCTAAAATTAAAATATAGTCTATGCCTCAGAGTTTAACACTGAACACAGTATGTGGTCATATTTCAATCCTCCTTCCGTTCCAGTGTCTGTGCGGCATGAATGCCATTGCTATACACAGGAAATGGAAGAGTGGAGAAGAGTCCTTCGGCAGTTGTGAACACATTCCCTGCAGGCATTTGGGTCAGACTGGCCGCGCTCACAGCACTTCCAAATGGTCCTGACATATTGAGTCGGTGAACGTGGTGGTAGAGCATTTCCATCGGTGTTTTAGGATCGAGGCCAAAGCTGGGGCTGTTAACGTCCACAAAGTTAACAGCGTGGGTATTGGGGAGAAGATTGCCCTGCATGGCTAAAGTAACTTCAGCTGGAGCATACCGAATAGTGCCAGTGGTATAGACCCTCTGAGCAGCCGTGCTGGTGGCAGCAAGGGTTCCAGTTACCCTGTGAACCAAAGGAAGGACCACATTGCCTGCCTGCAACCTCTGGAGGGCTTCCAGATCCCCAGTGTACAACAAAGAGTTGGAGGTGCTGGGTCCTCCTGGGTGCTTGTCCCGTGGAGATGCAGACAGAGGTGGTGACAAAGGGTCAGAGGATACAGGAGCCAAGGCGGAGCTGGATGAGGTGCTGAACTGAGATTTGCGGCTGGCAGTATTTTCAGTCCCTGGTGGGGTGAGGACAGAGTCTGGAATGGAAACATGTAAACTACTGCTGGCTTGAGGGGAGGGGAAGTGCTCTGAGTTTGGGGGCTTGGTCATACTGTAGGGTGATTCGTTCCTTGAGATTTCTCTGTTGGGTGGGTAATTCCAAATACTGCTATCATTATCAAAATTGATAGGTTCTGAGATCTCGGTTTTGATTTTGAGCACTGAGGCACTGTTTGGCGATGAAAGCAGCTGTGGCTGATCCACCAATGCTGAGTCAAGTCCATTTGGGCTTGAGGTGCTTGATAGCCTTCTGCGGGTCACACTGCCTCCTTTCTGCTTTTTCCTCCTTTTCTTTCTCTTTTGATGCTTGCTGGAAGACTGGGCATCTCCTTCTCCTGCACTGTCCGAGTCCTTGGCGCTGTCTGAGCTCAACGATTCACAATTCTGTAAACGCAAGTCTGATTCACTTTCCACGTAGCGTTCCACCTTGATCTGCATAGAGCCAAGTGTGCCATAACTATCCTCAGGGGCCTTTTGATTCTCAAAGTCAGAGTTTTCAAAGCTATCATCACTGTCTCTGCTGTCCTGGTTGCTGGAGCTGTTCCCATCCTCATTACAGTTCATTTCATTATCTGACTGGTTTCCAGACTTCTTTCTATCAGACTCAGGGTCTTCACTGTTTTCTGACTGGTTTCCTTTCTCATCTGACTTTGAATTTTCATTGTCTTCTGAATAGAGAGAAAAGTGAAAAACATCACTGAGAAGAAGAGCATGAGATTCAAAGAACATTCCAAAGCTCCTTTGCTAGTGACATATTATTACAGAATAATAATAATAAGAACAATAATGATAATAATGCAAAATCATAAAATTCAATGTAACTTTGTGTTTTCTCTCTCTGCAGTATCAGACTATTGTTTTAGCAAGCATAAAAGCAAAAAGAAATTTGGGCAGTCATTACTCTTGCTCCAGTTCAAACTTGGCAGTGATAATGGAGAACCTTCTGCTATATACATTAAGGTAGGAATGCAAATAGAAGCCTTAAGATTTGGTCACATTCCATCAAGGGGAACAGTGATAACAGTTTCACCAGGACTGCTGCTGCCTGTGAAAACCAACCTTTTTCACTGAGTATCACTGGCTACTTTAAAGGTTGACACAGCAGAGAAATAAATGTGAATAGACACAAATATTGCATGTGATGAAGGGAGGGAAAGACAAAGAGTGAGAGCATGAATGAGGAAACGTGTCCTTTTTTCCTTTCTCTTCAAATATTCTTAAGCAGAACAAAAATGGAAATGTATCAAGTCATGGATGGTTGAATACATGGATGCAGAATCCATAGACATGGAGGTTTGACAGTTCTTATTGCTACAACACTTCTTTGCTTAAACAGGACTTAAAATAAGCTTGTTAAAGACGTAATAAGGTCCATTTCTTTTTCATCCTCCCCTCCTTTCTTTCCCTCCACTTTATTAATTTGTTACATCAATGTTCTGAAAACTGACCGATCCTCATTGGCTATTTTGATGAGCTGCTATTTTGCATCCCCACATTTTTCCCAGACAGGTCATGTTCCAGAGCATTGCATGTGTGAGAGAAGGGGAATTATGGCCACAGCAAAACATTGACAGAGGATATTCACAACACATTTGGCAATATGTCCTCTTCTGTAGACAAAGTAGGAGCAGCCCCCCTGCACAAGCAAATAAAATTTTAAAAAAAATGTTTTCTGAGAAATTTTGTCCTAGTTGTAAACCAAACCTATACTATTATGAAATATTTCATACAGAAAAGGGGTTTAAGACCTCCAAATGCATTCAAAAGCAAACCTACACAATTAGTACATTACTTTAACTCAAGGAAGCATGTGCTTTCTTAAACTTTAAAAACATACCACACACCCCAAGTGCTATGATGTAGTAATATCATCTATGAACACTGCAAGGTCCACTGATAATTCTAACTTGGTTATAATCATTTGAAGGAAGATTTAAAACAATAAATGCCAGAGAACTGAACACTCTTATACGATGGAGAGCAACAATAACAGTCACAAAATTGAATGCTTATGTTTACCTGAGTTGTCTTTTGAGTCAGATTCAGAATCTGAGGTCTCTGAGGATTCAGAGGTTTTCTCTGGCAAATGAGGAAGCTGGGCAATATCCATTGGAGTGTCTTTGTATTCTGGGTTGCTGAAAAAGAAGATATGGCAAATATAAACACAAACATTATGGAGCAATGTGTGAAAAGTTTCTCTTTTTTTCTTTTTTCAACTCTCTAGAGCGAAAACATAAATGCAAATAGAGAGCATAGCAAAGCAAACATGAAAACATACAGATCTTTTTTCAGTTCCTTACAGCAGATGTTTTATGGAGACTGCTTGTAATTCTACCTGCCATCAAATATTTATACTGCTCGCCATGTCTGCTACTGCTAAGATATCAAGACCAGAATATTTGTGATTAATCAAGTTTCACGTTCTACTTTCTGTCTAGTAATTAATCTCTGCTTTGTAGTCCATGTGAACAACATAGAAACAGTATTTCTTGCCACCCCTGTTATTGGGGTGCACTGTTTATCATTCCTTTACATCTTCTCAGTACCTTATGAGTAACCCATCTCTTCTTTTGTGTAACTAACTCTGTGGCAGAGGTGTTTTCTCTCTCTGTAGGAGTGTTTCTAGACGAGGCTTTTAGGATTCCCTCATCCTGCCTTGTGCATTGTTTTTGACAGTGCTCGAACTTACATAGTCTTCCATTCATAGCCTTAACCCTTCCATTTTCCCCATCCCTTCTTCCTTTTTTCTTTATAAAAGAAAACCCATTAAGGAGAAGTAGTCAGAATAGCTGCACAGCATCTTCAAATTGATAGCACAAAGAGCCCTCCATTAGGAGACACCCTGAGAGGCAAATAGATCATTTACTAAGTTGTAAGATATGGGGTTAACTATATGAGATTATTAATATTAAAATTATATTCTGCCAGCCGATCGAGATTTGCCTATAAGCAAGCACTGTAAATACATATAAATACTCCAAAACATCATTTCTTTTGCACTTCTTAAACCAGTCTTCCCTCTGGATGTTTTGGACCACATTTCTCAGAATCCTATAGCCAATATGTCCAGTATATCTTAGAGCACCTGAAACAACTGCATATTCTACTTAAACAGCCATGGATGCATTCTCTGGAATTTTGGGATTTGTAGTTTGATGAGGCACTAGATCACTGGTTCTCAATCTGTGGGTCTCCAGGTGTTTTGGCCCACAACTCACAGAAATCCCAGCCAGTTTACCAGCTGTTAGGACTTTTTTGGAGTTGAAGGCCAAAACATCTGGGGACCCACAGGTTGAGAACCACTGATCTAGTGCTCTCTGGCTAAGAACTCTAAATATCTGTTTCTAAACTGCAAATCCCAAGATGGAACCTTGTCAGTGAAAGTGGAACCCTAATGCTATCATTGTGTAGTGTGAAAGAATTTTGGTAAAGCAAGGTTGGATCTGCTTCATGCCTTGATGAAAGGCTACCAACACCTCTGGATGTCCTACTTTGAGTTTCACCACAGAAGAAATATGATATATTTGTGAAATAAATGTATTCATTAAATAGAAAAACAATGAAATTAATGGGACTATTGTTTAATAAGAATAAATACAATTATACTGGGTAACAAGAGCATACATGAAATGTTCTTCTGTGGAGTGAGCTCAGCTTCCTACTTGTTTCACTATTCTGATGATATTTATACTGCCTTTAGATTGAATTGTGGGTGCACTTAGTGTTTTACAACCTTCCATTCATCTACCAAGTTCAAGTGGGATATCCACATTTTGTCTCCATTATCAAGTGCCTTGTGTATTTATTTGCTCAAACATTAGGGATATGAATGTTTGTGCTTTCCATCCCTGCTGTCTCTACGTGAGCCTTGACATTAGGGTTAGCCAAACAGCCGCGATGCACAACTCTGCCATGAGAAGTGAGCTAAAGATATTATAATTTTACAGACAGTAGAAGTGAGATTGAGAAACTTGCTCAGGAGGTCTTTTTAAGCTCAGCTGGAATTCAAAACGAGTACAGGTAATAGCAGCATTTTGAGAGAAATCCCACAGTAATGACAATACTAAACAAAGGAATGAAAAAGACCTTTCTAGGATAACGTTACAAATATAGTAGGAACTCTGCTAGGCTTCTATTCAGAATTCTTTGGTAGCCAAGTAAAGAATGCTAGTAAGAGACGGCTATAAATCAATTATGTAATAAAGTCATACTTAAGTATACATGAATTTGAGAGATGCTCAGGAAATGGCAAGTCTATGGACAGAGTCCTATTATCCATTAGCAGACAATGATTCTGAGCAGGATGACATTAAATCCCTCGCATTCTTTCTTGTACATCACCCATTTAATATGACGCTTGCAGTCACAACACAAATGCAAATAATGGAACTGACAAAAAGATATACCTCAGAAGGTAATTGACCCAGATGATGTTCTTCTCATTTGCATTCTTGGCATTAATAGCAATAGTGGCACTAGACTGTATCCAAATATAACCTCCATTCTTCTGCATCCAGCGGTAGTATTTTGTTACACACTGACCCTTGTTCAGCACTGGATTGAGGGAAACAAAAAGAGTAAGGCATGCAATTAGCACTGTGTGTAAAGGGGATTCATCCACACCCAGAGAGCATGCCACATGTACAAAGATATGGAAGGCCTTTTCTCATTACATGTAATGGAATACATCATTACAATTACAAATAAACCCATTTTGTTTCATACAGCCGCGCAAGAGAAGCAGAGGTTACAATAATTTCCAATGTGATTTTAATCTGCTTTTGGAAGCTCAGGTACGCAAGGAGGAACCTTACAAATCTCTGTGGCTCACGGAGCACGGGATCCTATGTAGACATTTCCAATGCACTCAACATTAAATTGTGGTGTGTGTTTTCCCCCTTTCTAAAAAGTTAAATTTCTGTGTGATTTATTCATAGCTCCTGGGTAAACCTCTTTGAGATTCTGGCTATTTGAAAGGTTTGGGAAGATACTGTACCCTAGTTCTTTGATCATTCCTCTTCATTGCAGGCGATATCAACTACTGAACTTACACATCTGTTTCTTTTGATCTTGTCAAACAGAATTTACAGTCCTCAGATGAACCAAATCTCCAATGGTCAGTAGGGGGAATGTCTGCGGAGACTTTGCTTAATACCGGAGCAAAATAAATCCACCAAAGAGCTGCAGGAGAAACTGTGGCCTAAGGGAGCTGCAGAATCGAGCGCATTAAAGCCAAGAGCTCTGTGCGGCGTCTGAAGTGGGTTCCGACAAGGGAGGACAAGTGAAAGCAATCAGTTCAGAGGTGGGAAATGCTTAAATAGACAGATGTTGAAATCTGTCTCAAGCCGGCATCTTGCCAACCTAAAACTGGTTTTGCTTCTGCAAAAAGACAAAAAGCTGTAAATCATTTGCTGGAATAAGCAAGCTGTGTGTGTTTGGCACAAATTTAGGCAATGTATTTGCTATTATTATGACACCAGCTTGAGTTTATTTCCTTGGTTTTGTTTGCTCTCAATCTTGCAAAGTCTTGCACACTAGAGGGCAGTGTGCCTTCACACACATCTCCGCTTTTGGCATGTCCTTGTCTCCGTCTGCTAAAATGAAAAACCTCTAACTGCTGTAATAAATTTGGCTAAATTAGCTGCTAAATGGTTATCTCAAGTAATATGTATTTGCATTAATCATCTTGCTCTAAACCAGAACAAGCCAGAGTCCTAAAGACGTAGTAAATTCATATTGTCCATTTAATTATGGCTAATAAGTGCTTCATATACAATAGTTTCATGAAGTACATTTTGATTTTTTTTTGCTTTGGAGAGGTGGGGAAAAGAGTTGGAAAAGGAGCCATTGGGGCAACTGTACTGAAACTTGAAAATCCAACGATTCTTTTAAAATTAGACAGTACCTCTCAGTTAAGAAAATGTCAACTACACAGTAGCATCTAAAGCATATGAATCAACATTCCCATTAGCATCTTAATCTGGACAAATATCAAATCAGAGATTTTGTTACTTATTTTGCTGTGGGGGGTTAAGAATACCAAGGATGACTTGCTTTGCCATTCCATTTCCTACAAGACCAATGTGTTCGCACTATACAACCAGAGCACTGTATTATCATTTTAATTGTCATGGCTCCAACTAATTGAATTCTTTGATTTAGTAATATTTTCTTACAATTTACTGTTTGAGAGTTCTAGTGCTGTAGCTCTGGCAAGATGCAATAGATTTCTTTGTCAGAGGGCCCTTACACACAGACCTATATCCCAGAATATCAAGGCAGGAAATCCCACATTATCAGAGTGTGGATTCAGATAACCCAGTTCAAAGCAGATATTGTGGGATTTTCTGCCTTGATATTCTGCGATATATGGCTGTGTGGAAGGACCCAGAGTATTGCAATTACTCCATGACTATAACCCCAGGCGAGGGACATGATAGTTAACAGTGAAATCAAACTGGTTTAACCATATATTTTAGATCTCATGAGAGGGAGCAAACTCCATTCTTCCTCCAAGATACAGTTTGGCGCAGTAACATTAAAGGTGAGTATGTGGCCACATCTGGCTCCCACAGCTTGCTCTATGTCACATCCAGTGCTCTTTAGGATGGGCTAGCCTACAACTTCCATCCTTTCCAACAAACATAGCGAACTACAGCTCTCATCTCTACAATGAGCACAAGAATGGCAATGTTACTTAGGGGGTGATGGGGATTCAAAACGCCTGGAGGGAACATGGTTAGGAAAGACTGAAGATGAAAGGGAAATAGCTTTAAGGGTTTTCTTGACTTCTAGAGAGAGAGAGAGGGGTACAAATTAAACAGATAAATGATATATATGTCACTGAATATTAATTTTTCACTTTAAGTTGCAAAGATTTAAAAAGTCCTGTTTTTGGACTCCAGCTCCCCAGCCGGCATAGCTCCAGTCCTACCTATTTTAGAGCCTGATATATTCACAAGCAAGACATCATTTTTATTAATAAAGGAACTGATGTATATTTTCCATAGAACTATATATAGAAAGGTACGCAAACTGACATCCTTGTAGATACATTTTGTTTTGACTTGGGGAAAAAAACTTTTTACGCCAAAGTGTTTTGACATTCCAACAAATTGTCAGGAAGCGAATTTTGAAAGCTCAGTCAGTTCTATTTTGTAACAGGAGCAAACATTTGCAATTTGGGTTATACTGTTTTGTAAACAAGTTAAGCTTTTCTGGATTTCATACATTTATATCTAATCAAAAGGCTCTTTGCTTTTTTGTATTCCTGTTTAAAAAGTATTCTGATTCATGCAATGTTAAAACTGGATGGTTAAGCAGAAACGGTTTTAATACTCTACCTTGTGTACAGCTTTTCTGTCAAACAGTGAATGCTCTCATGATGAGACAGCAATTTTAGAAAAAATTCTCTGAGTAATTGTTCTGATTGAGTTTTGGGAAGAAAAATTACTCAAGAGGAATCTGCAGTTTTCTGGCCATAAGTCATGTTGAAGCAACTGTCCTTTGAGTGGACATCCACTGTCTGTGTAGTAACTCATTGATTTGCTGAAGCAAAATGAGATGGAAGGACTCTGTCCCTTGTTTTTTAACAAAAGTACCACTTCTGGGAGTGAAACAGTGTAAAGGTTTATCGGTTTCTGAGGGTGAGGGCTAAAGCCATCTATACTGCCACTAGATCTCTTGGTTGAGGAAGCAGAGACAGCACAAATTGGGCTTGTGTCTCTTGGGGCAACCTTGCCAGTACCAGATAGTCATTTGGGTGAGTTCATTGGGGAGTTTGTTGAGCTAAGGTTCTGGTCTCTTTTGATGGGAAGGCTGTTTGTGTGCATTGGGTGGAAGCTTGCTGGCTTGATCATTTGGGTTCTATTCTTCTGTGTAAATAGCTTCAGGTCGTTTGCTTGAGCAAGTGGGCTCAGGAGGGAGAGGCACTTGCACAGAGAAAGTAGATCACAGAAAGTAGGTCAAAGGCTTCTTGGGGGAGGAACTAATTGCCACTTTCTCTCTTTGTTGGGAGGAGAGCTAACTGCAAGGAACTGGGCCCAGCACCTGGATACCTTTCTTACAATCAGGGGCAGTCAGAGGAGGATGGACAGTAAAACTGAGTGTGTGTTCATTGTCCCTGTAACAATGATTCTATACACTCTTCCTGTCTGATACAAATTCCTTGAAACTAGTAGAGAAACACTACACAGGTAGGAAAAAAGAACTGGTGTTTAGTGATGTAAAGTGGGAATGACAGGAGGATCCAAGCTTGGAAATGAATCCACAGCTTGGAGAAGTTAGTTTTTGCATGACAATCCCAAAATAACTGGTCATATTGATTGTGGAACTGAGGGGGCTGGGGTCCAAAAAGTAATTTTTCCATGTTCAGAATTAGCCCCATGATCAGTCTTGATTCTGAGATTTAGATCCATCTGAAGAGAAGTCGCTAAGGTAACTCCTTTCCTTCAAAGGCTCCACTAGTGATGTTATCTCCAAAATGGTCACTTATTGCAATTCTTCAAATTGTCAATTGGCCAACTGTTTCTCCAGCTATTTTTGGAACTAGTAACACAACTCTGCACAAGACTGTGCCTGTCAGACTACAGAAACTATTATGGCTAACTGGAATGATATAGAGGACATCATATTAGGACTGAACTTTGCCAGAGAGCATTATGTCAGGGGCAAGCAACATAACCTGGGGCAATTTCTTCCAAAATGATAATTTTCATCTGCTCTAAGCAACATGTTCTGTGTCTTCCTCACATGTTCATCAAGTCTCACTTCTAAACCCTTTACAGTTAAGGCCTTCAGCTTAAAGATTAAAGTCACTCAAGTGATAGGCAAACCAAAGCCTGCTGTTGAGCCTAAGCATCACAGATGTAATTAAAGGGCAAGAGACAGGAAGAATTACTAAACATTTTGCTGGCTTTTAGATAGGTTTCTGAATTTACCAGCATCTTCAAAAAAATGTAAAATGCTTCTCTCCAGTCTTGGATAATAAGTGTTCATTGGTGCTGTTCATGAATTTACTCCTGTTGATATGTGTTTTTTTTTTAACTTTAAGTATAACTCTGTGGTGAGATTTTTATCTGGATGAATATATCATTGGAGTTTTAAAACGATGAGGAGGCATAAAGAGAAAGGAGAAAAATTCAAAAGAAAGATTACTTATTTAAATTATTGTGATTGTATTTTATTGCCAGGGATATGTGGGGACATGAGAGAAGCCTCCCGCAAGGATGGTAAAATATCAAAACATCACCTGGGCAACATCCTTTCAGGTGGCCAATTCTCTCACACTGGGGGGCGGGGGGAGAAAAGGAAACCCATGAGACTCTCTGGTGTCAAAATCATTTGACTTGGGGATTATGGACTTGGGAGTGGTTGAGAGGGCAGAAGTATGGTGCCATTTGCTTCTCTGCCTTAGGCAGCTAAATGCCTTGGGCACTTTTGAAGTGGACCTTCTCTTTGGCTTGTCTCAGGCAAGACACCACTTTTTAGCTTAACTAGACTCCTACTTCACAGGGCTGTAATGGTGATATGATGGTGAATGAGGTTTCTTCCTT